AAATCATGTCAAGTATCTTTTCCAGTCACAACTGCGTGAAACTAGAAATAAATAACAGGAGGAAAACTCACAAATATGCAGAAATTGAATAATATACTCCTAAACAACCAATGGGTCACAGAAAAAATAAAAAGGAAAATCAAAAAGTACCTTGAGACAAAAGAAAATAAAAACACAACATACAAAAACCTTCGATATACAGCAAAAGCAGTCCTGAGAGGGAAATTTACACCAATAAAATCCTAGACCACAAAAGAAGAAAGATTTCAAATAAACATTGTACGGTTACACTTTAAAAAACTGGGAAAAGAAAAACAAACTAAGCCCACAGTCAGCAGAAGGAAGGAAACAACGAAGATGAGAGCAGAAATAAATGAAATAGAGACTAGAAAAACAATAGAAAAAATCAATAAAATGAAAAATTGGTTTTTTGAAAAGATAAATGAAGTCACCAAACCCTTACCTAGAGCAAGAAAAAAAGGGTGAAGACAAATATATAAGATCAGAAATGAAAGATGAGATATTAGAACTGATACCACAGAAATACAAAGGATCATAAGAAAATGCTATGAACAATTATATGCCAACAAACTGAATAATGTAGAAGAAATAAATACATTCCCAGACACACACAACCAAGGCTGAATTATGAAGAAATAGAAAATATGAGCAGAACAATAGTGAGTAAGGAGATTGAATCAGTAATCAAATTTTCCCATCAAAGAAAAGCCTGGGACCGGATGTCTTCCCTGCTGAAATCTACCAAACATTTAAAGAAGAACTAATACCAATTCTTCCAAAATTCTTCCAAAAAATCAGAATGGAGATAATACTTTCAAACTCATTTTATGAATCCAGCATTACCCTGATATAAAGCCAGATAAGGACACTACAAGAAAACTATAAGCAAAGATCCCTGATGAACATAAATGTAACATCCTCAGTAAAACACTAGCAAACTGAATTCAGCAGCTCATTAAATGGATGAAAACAGAACCATTTTCAAATAAGATTATAGAAAAATAAGAAGGGCAATATCCCTTTCACTATACAGTATTCTTTAGGTCTCCATCTTTTTTTTTTTTTAGATTTTTTAGATTTTTTTTATTTCTGCATATTATGAGGGTACAAATGTATAGGTTACATTGCCCTTGCCCATCCCCAGTCAGAGCTTTAAGCGTGTCCATCCCCTAGATGGCGTGCATCGCACTCATTATGTTTGTATATACCCATCCCCTCCACCCCCCCTCCCATCTGCCCAACTCCCGATAAATGTTATTCCTATATGTGCACTTAGGTGTTGATCAGTGAAACCAATTTGCTGGTGAGTACATGTGGTGCTTATTTTTCCATTCTTGGGATACTTCACTTAGTAGAATGTGTTCCAGCTCTATCCAGGA